AAAAAAAAAAAAAAAAAAAAAAAAAAAAAAAAAAAGGCTTCTCCCGCGGGACTTAGCAAAGCGTAACTGTTTCGTTGTGCTGTAAAAAGCAAACCAATACGCAGCGCAGTGAACTGTATGACAGATGCGTTAAACATAAACTCTATTCTATGCCTTTCACCGCGCCCTGTGCAGGGACGTGGCCGAAATACCAACCCATGAGCTTTCTCAGGCGAGTATTCTTACTACAGTGGGCAGGACATTTCCAGCATGCGTAGTCGTGGCCGAGTGGTTAAGGCGATGGACTAGAAATCCATTGGGGTCTCCCCGCGCAGGTTCGAATCCTGCCGACTACGGCCCGAAATTCGTGGCTATAAGTTTTCTTATTTTTTATCCCATTGTTCAGTCTGTCACAACCGCGGAAGCGGCCGGGCGAGGGTCCCGCCGCGGCCGAGCCCCACAGCCGCCCCCGGCCCTGGCCGGGCGCGGAGTCCCCGCCCCTGCCGGCGCGGGGCGGTGCAGGGGCGCCTTGGCAACCGCGGGGGCGGCAAGATGGCGGACGACTTGGACCGGCTGCTGGATGAGGTGGAGAGGCGGCTGTCCCGCCGGCACGGCAGCGGCGAGGAGAGGCCCGCGGCGACCAAGGAGGACAGGTCAGCGCTCCCGCCGCCCTCACGCACTTCCCCGCCGAGCAAGGGGCCCCCTGGGTGGTGCGCAGCCCGTCCTGCCCCGCCCCGTCCGGCCAGAGCCCTCAGGAGCTGAAAACACGCGGGGTCAGGAGCCGAAACATTGGCCGGCGGTCAGCGAGTGTCCCCTGTAGCCGCTGTTTTTTAAACATCCCAGTCGTGCGCCAGCGAGCTGAGTTACTTCAGACAGTCTTTATCTCTTGCAAGCACCACAATGCCGGATTAAAAATGGCGTTAAAGGCTGCGCTAATTTGCTTCTGAGTAAGGGTTGGGGATTACTTGGCTCTGTAACTCACCTCGTGTTATATATAAAATATCAATAAATCTCACGATTTAGTGCAGGAAGAGCCTTAGTAATAGTATTATCAAAGATTTTATTATCTTGATACTTCAGTCATTTCACAGAATCTCAGAATATTCTAAGTTGGAAGGGGCCCACAAGGATCACCAGAGCCTGACTCCTGGTCCTGGGCAGGACACCCCAGGAATTACATCATGTGCCTGAGAGCATTGTCCAAGCACTTCTTGAGCTCTTGCAGGCTTGGTGCTGTGACCACCTCCCTTGGGAGCAGTTCCAGTGCCCAACCACCCTCTGGGTAAAGAACCTCTTCCTAATATCCAACCTAAACCTTCCCTGACAAAGCTTCAGACCATTCCCTCTCGTGTCTGTTTTCTGTTCATATTTATTAACTGTATCTGCTACAATAAGCACTTCACTTAGACTCTATACACTTTCAGGTGTCTTCCTCAAATTCCATGATTTTCAACGTGGTGTTACGAATACCATCAGGTGTGGGCCTGACAGGGTTATTGCTGACAGTACACCAGACATTCAGTCTGCCACACCTCTGTCACTGCCTGCCTCCAGGCTTCCATCCAGGCCTTCAGGGTTGTCTTTTCTTGCCCCCAGGTTTCTATCCAGGACGTCACAGGCATCTTTGCCCACCCTTGGGTTTCCTTCCTGACACTCAGATTTACAAACCCACCTTAACAGACATCTCAGCTCCCTTTGGAAGGTCTGTGGACCAGAGGGGCTTAGCCAGATTTCTGCACAGGTGGGCTGATGAGCGCTTGCCCAACAGACATTTCCGAGACCTAGGCCAGAATCTTGAAGAGCCCAATGACTAATGCAAGAGCAGAAAGCCCACTACGTTTGGCCACATTACTGGACTTCCCTGTTGTTTGCATAATGGTTAGATGAGCACTTAATTTTATTCAGTCTAATTACAAACTTTTAAAAAATCGCACTATTTTCTTCTTTCTCAGGACTAAATTTTTTCTTGATTTTTTGATGCAGGCCTCTCTGTCAAAGAGCTAGAAAACAGCAGACTTGAGTGTCACTTGAGTGAAAGCAAAGTGCGGGTGACCTTTCTAAATGCATCCAGTTTGGCAGGAATTCCTTTAGAACCCCTGCAGTTGTATAGCATGAGGAAATAACTCCCTCTGACTTTTTTATGTTACTGCTGCTGAAGGTTAATGTGAAAAATCAGGACTGTCAAATATTTTGTCCAGTAAGTGCAGCATGGGTTATATTATCATAGTTTTATTCAGGGTTGGAAGTGGTTGAAAATAAAAGAAGAAGCAAAAATAAAATCTTGATGGGACAATTCAACACAGCCTGAAAGGTGTCACCCTGCAGTTTATATCTGTTCAGTCATGACTTGGATGGCCTACCTTAGATGCTACAAAAATATTACAGGAAAAAGGCTGCAACTGCTTTTATTTTTTAACTTATAATTCTTAAACTGCTGTAGTTCATTTTGCTACAAAAATGAAAGTTGTTTGTTTTTCAGGTCAGCTAAATTGGTAACGAGTGCTGGCAGCAGCGAAGAAGATCTAGATGACATTATTGATGAAATCTGTAAGGACAGCAGCTTTACCAAAACACCTCCGGTGAGTAGAGTTTGGAGAAATGCAGAATGGATCAGGTACAACAGTGGAAAGGAAAGCACCATAAGCTAAAAATTTTAAGCAAAAAATTAACTAAAACAAGCTGTAGAATAAACTTGGAAAATAAAGCAGAAAGGAAAATGCAACAATGCTTTAGTGAGGAACAGGAGGGATATAAAGAGATGTTCTTACATAGGCCGTAACAGGCAATTAAAGGAAATGCCAGTTCAAGATAGAGCATAATGTCAAATATCACGGAATCACAGAAGGTTTGCAGTTTGGAAGAGGGACCTATGGAGAACGTCTGGTCCAACTACCTGCTTAAGCAGGGCTGCCTAGAGCCAATTGCCCAGGTCTGTATCCAAATGGCTCTTGAATATCTCCAAGGATGGAGACTGCAGCCTCTCTTAGTAACCTGTTTCCAGTGTTTGACCACCCTCACAAGAAGATTTTTCATGTGTTTAACTGTAAATTCTTGTACTTCAATTTGCACCCATTGCCTCTCCTGTCAGTGAGCCCCACTGAGAAGAGTTTGGCTACATCTTCCTTATTTTTCCCTGGCATGTATTTTTATACCTTGCTAAGGTTCTTCTGACCATTATCTTCTCCAGGCTAAACAATTCCAGCTCTCTTACCCTCTACCTATATGTCAGATGGTCTAGATCCTTAGTTAACTTCACAGTCCTTTCCTGAGCCCACTCTGTTATGTCCATGTCTCTTTTGTACTGGACATAGTGCTCCACACGTGTTTTGGAGGTCGTATCTGGAGTACTGTGTCCAGTTCTGCTTTCTCAAACACAAGAGAAAGATGGAGCTACTGGAGAGCTTCCGGCAAAGGCCCGTGGAGTATCTCTTATATGAGGAGAGACTGAGAAAGCTGGGACTGTTCACTCTGGAGAAGAGAGGGCTCCAAGGGGATCTTATCAATGTGTGTAAATACCTGATGGGTGTAGTAAAGAAGGGGCCAGACTCTCCTCTGTAGTGCCCAGTGACAGGACAACAGGCTATGGGCACACACTGAAACACATGAAATTCCATCTGTACACAAGAAAACACTTTTTTTACTGTGAGTGTGGTCAAACACGGGGGACAGTCTTCACAGAGAGGTTGTGGAGTCCCATTCTGTGGAGATCTTCAAAATGCAGCTGGACACAATCATTGGCAAGCTGCTTAAGCTGACCCTGCTTGGAGAAGAGGAAGGTCCCTTCCAACTGAAATGATTCTGTGATTCTGTCTCACCAGTGCTGAGTAGAGAGGAAGGATCATCTCCCTGGATGTGCTGGCAACATCCCTCCTAATGTAGCCCAGGGTGCTGTTGGCCTTCTGTGCTGCAAGGGCACACTGCTGGCACACAGTCAACTTGTTATCGACCGAATTTGCCACAGCCTTCTCTGCAGAGCTGCTTTCCAGCTGCTCAGCCCTCATTGTGTTCTGGTGCATAAGGGTTATTCCTCCCCAGGGGCAGGAGTTTGCATTTCCCCTTAGATGAACTTGAAAAGATTCCTCTCAGCCCATTTCTGCAGTCATTTGAGGTCCCTCTTAATGGCAGCACAGTCATCTGACGTACCAACCACCGTTCCCTATTTTGTATCCTTTGCAAATATCTTGCCTTGTTTCACAGCAGGAGATGGAGATGAAGCCACAAATCTACACTGTCAGGACAGTTAGAATGATAGAAGACATAGAAAACAGATATTCATTTCAGTATCAGCAGCAGAAAATTGTGTTATTTATACTTTATAACCCCTTGTGCAGATTCTCATATTTTCATTAGGGATATTTTTTGTTGCTTTGTTTGTATTTGATTTTTTACAGAGTGGCTAAATCTGAGCCAACAAAAAAACACTTGTATACTAAATACATACACCTAAGGGAGAGATAATTATGTCAGTAAATTTGTATCATTTTATTATTTTATATCCCTAGATATCCCATTCGGGATCTAGAATTCTAATATTCTAGAATTCAAAAAAACTGTTTTGTGTGCAGCTAATAAGAAACTTCAAAGACACTTCATCTTTTTTAATAATCTAAGTTCTTGATATGTTTTAATGAAACAAAAGATCAAACACATTGAGGGAGAGGGCTCCTAAATTAAAACTGTCTTTAAAAGCAAAATTATTAAAAGGAGGATATAAAATACTAAGTCTCAGTTGTAAAGTCAGAATGATCATGTGGTGTTGAATTCCTTCAGGCAGAGCTGAAAATCAGTATAGGAAGAGAAGTCTTGTTCTCGCTTATCTGTTACTTCAATAGCTTTTGACTCAAAGAGCCTCACAACCCTGACCAAGAAAATTCCCAAATCCTTCGTCCCCTTCTTTTGTGACTGAGATTTTCTGGCTACTGCTTATTAAGTAAACCAGAATATTGTTACCATGTTGTAATGCCACATTTTATTCTTTGATTTCTTTTTAAACAGAAACTGAAGTCTGACTTCACAAGTCTCACACCTGAAAGAAATAGTGCTATTGTACAGGCACGTGGGAAAAGGTAAGTGAAAAATGTTTTAGCTTGGACACAGCTTGATTATAACTTCTTGTCAGTTTAGTAATATTGCTGCTGTTTATTGTGTGTTGACCTTAACTAAGAAAGACACTGAGTACAGAAACATTCTTTTTAAAGAAAAACAAAGATAAAGAGATAATTTTGAAGCATTGCTAGTGTTTTCATGCAATCAGAATTATTTATTATAAACTTATTAATTATTTAAGTTTTTGAACAATGCCTTCCTTTGCCTTATGGACATACTCATTTATCAAATGCTGCAATATATAGACCCATATATATTGGATATAGTTATTTTGGCAGAGTTTTTCTTTGAACACCTTGGTGATGGAAATTTTAAAATTCTGTAGTTTGCAAGCATTTGGATGCTTTGTCGGTATTTAATAAATATTATTTTATAAATAACATATATTTAAACTAAGAGAAGCATTTTCCTACCTTTTCCAACGTTTTGCCATAAGTTAGTATTTTTTAATGAATCCATATAGATGCTGTCCAGTGTACCTGGGTGGAAGTGCTTCACCATCTGGCATAGGAACAAATATTTCAAAAAGGTAGGAAACCTGAAAAAAAAAGTGCTACTTGCTTTATCATTGTTTTTATTCACAGCTGTCTCTCTGTGGTTGTACAGAGTTCTGCATTTGAACTGGACAGGACAGCCTTATAGTCATCTAAAGAAGGGGCTGCCTCTAACTGCAGTTGAAGTCAGCTGGTCCCTTCCAGTCCTCTGTTGTCAACAAGTAGATCTTTTGTTAGTTTGAAGCGTTGAAAGATGTGTGCAAATGAGACACGAAACTCCAAAAATCAGTAACAAGTAGTTAAGGAAATTGCTGCTGCATTGTTATTTTTCCCTGCCTCTCTTCATCTTTCTGGTGATGCCAAATATGTCACTTAAATCAGTGGGCTGGTTTAAATCATCCCAGAGCCTGAATTGAAAATAGCCAGAGTGCTTTCCAACTGCAGCTGAATTTAGCAGGAGAAGATTGATCCACAACATCCTATAGAACATGATTGTATTTCCACGTGGGATTTTTTGTAGTAAGTAATTATGTACTTGATGCATATTTGGATGCTGGTCAGGTTCTACCAGTGAGGAATACCAAAGACTATATCAAGAGAATTTAGTTTATTTTTTGTGTTCAGTGAGGTTAGGAACCTGTAAAAATAATACCTGATCATGCAGTTAAATCACATACCATAATGAACATGCCAGAGATGTAAAAACATTAAGATTAGGTAATGTTGCTTCTCGTATTTCTCACTGAGCGCTTTACATTAAAACAGTTATGATCTAGGTACTTCTCTGACTGTAATAACCTCTTGGAGCTTCTTTGTTCTTTTTTGGCCAGAACATGTGATCAGCTACGTTGTACTGCCTGTGACTTCCGTGTGTCAGTTTTCAATGACTACATCTGGGATCAGTCCTGTGATTATCTCTTTTTCAGGTATGTCTGAGGTGGGCTTGGTAGTACTGTGTTACTGTGCTTTGGGGCATGATAAGAACAGGAAGGATGAAAAGTCCTGAGCACTGCTGTGTTACCTAAAAAGGAGCATGTGTGTGATGACCTGTTTGGGATCAGGAGGGAAAGTCTGTGGGCAAAGGGAAGCAATAATCTGTTTTTATCCATTTCCGTTTCTTCTTCCATCACTTTCTCTCTGCTTTTAAAAAGAATTCATGTTTCATGGATCAAAGGCAACTTTATTGCTGAAATAAGCAGATAATCCATGGTGGTGAGTTGGCCTCTGTTATGCCATTGCAGGGTGCCTACAAAATGACTGCAGACTGTTCAGCATGTGCTTCTCACTACACCTTCAGTCATACAGACTATGATTGATTCAAGTCATATTTTCTTTTTTCCCGTATGAAGTATTATGCTGTCATGTTTGGTGAAAATCAAATAGCTTTATTTCTCAACAGATTTCTTTCTTGAAGCAAGGTTTGATTAAATGGAGGGGTGGGATTTTTGTTTTCTTCTGGCATTGTGATGTCTTTGATTTTAATTCTTTAAATATTTTTCAAGACTTAAAATTAAGGAGTTCTTATTTTCAGTTTGTCTAAAACTACATCTGATGCCAAGACTTCGTGAAGGGTAGTGTAGTCGGTGTGCTCCTAATACAAACATCAAATTTGGATTCCTTCTAATTTTAGTGCAGTCTCTGCATCTGCCCATTAACTGATGGAAGAGGTGGGTGTGTTCAGAGCATGGGCTTAAGCAGCGAGGGGTGTGACAGCTGGAGTAGAACAGTAGTGGAGACATCAGCTCCTTTTCCATTATTTTCCCTGTATTACACCTTTGATTATTCCTGTATTTTCCTTCCAGTCTCAAAATTTGTATTTCTCTTTGAATGCCAGTATTTTTCCCATTACTTAAAGCAGCATTAAAAATATAGTGCTGCACTAGTGTCCTAAGATGAGTTTGGTAGCAGGAAAGGTTAAACAAAAGTATGATTCTTTTGTTTACCCAAAGTCTGAATAATTCTGCTTCTCAGGTCTTGAAATTAAAACATCAAAAAAAATTAAACAAACAAACAAAAAAAGAGGCATTAAAGTCAGATACATGTAACATTGTAATTGCTAGGAGGATCTTTAGGTACTTTTTTTGACAAACGTGAATTTTAGGAAGCAAAATTTAAGATTAAATATTTGCCTTACATCAATAGTTGTCTGAACTCTTTTTCTAAAAATTTTTCCCCTTCCCAACTTGTTTTGGGTTTTCTCTATTTAGCTGAGGTAGTTAATGTTGGTTTTGAGCAATTCAGCATCCAGAAATTGAGGAGTAGGTCTTGAGGGTAGAGATAGCTAAAATGTTACATTTGCACTTGTTTTTTTTTTTTAAACAACTTGTTTTTGACATAGCCATGCTGATTTTTCATTTGTTATTGTTGATGCTTGCACAGGAATTACTTGTGGTTTGATGTACATTCTTCCCTCCTATGGTCATTTCATTTCAGTCACTTTAACAATCATCCTGAGTAACAGTTCCTGATGAAAAGTTTAACTCTGTAGTTGTTCCCATTCTCCATAGCAATTTTTACAGTAAGTTTGGTAAACTAAATACATTTTTGGATAATTTCCTAACATGAGAATTAATTCTAACTGCTTTTCTTCCCAGCTTTTTCTCTGGAGGCTGACACAGGGTCTCTAAACCCAACACAGAACATTGCTTACAAAACCATCAATCTATTGTTCATCTAGGAACACATCAACTATGGATCGAGAATGATCTCGGGAAAGAATTGTGTTCCAAACAGAATTTAAATGTACCCCTAAATTCATTCATGACAATGCTACTCAAAAATGCCCGTAAAAGCTCTTCTGATTTGAAATAGCCCGAAAAAAAGCATGATCCTAAGCTGAATTCACTTTTTTGGCAGGAATAACATGCCTGAGCTCAGTAAACTAAGAGCGAAGATGATAAAGAAGAAAGGAGCACGAGCATATGCTTGTCAGTGCAGCTGGCGATCCATTGATGAATTAACTGACCTCCAGACAGAGCAGCAGCTTCGGTGGGTTTGTGGTAAACATGGAGATTGAAGTCGTCTTGTGTGTGATACCTACTGTGTGGACACAGGTCATAAGCTCAATTTGTTTCCTAGTTTCCTGAGAACAGGTGGAAACCTGAATACTTATATCTAGAAATAGATTATAATACCCAGATTTCAACCTGAAAACCTGTTTTTTCAGTTTAACTATCTTACAAGCAATGTGGAGAGTTGAATTATTACAAGAAACAATTTTGAGGCTTTCTGGAAGTTAAGTGATGTTAAAGCTCATACTGAGTAGTGTTAAAGGAGAAGATGAAATAATACACCTGGGCATGGGCAAAATACCTTGATACTGTTCCTCATATCTAGCAGAGAGCCTTATTTCCCGTATCTGCAGAATCTTGGATTCAAAATGGTGGGTTGAGACACAGCCATGACACACAAGCATATGAATTTCAGCATGGAAATTAATCCCGCTCTTCCACTTTGCTCATTGCTGGTAAAGAGCAAGTGGTTGTTGCTCTCTTAAAAAATTACTGTGGGATCAGCTCTCACCTCAAAGGTTTCAGCGCACCCCAGAACTTTACTTTCTTTTACCCACCAGAAACCAAAAACTACAGGTGCTGAAAATTTTCTTCCAGTTCCTACTGCTCTCTTCAGAGCACTTTCCTCTGACTAAGCACTTTTACGACAATGAAATTTTCCTCAGCCTTCACTGCAAGAGGTGAACAAGTTATTGTTAATTATTAAATACCGTGCAATTTTAAAGATATTCCAAAGAGTATTCTGTCAACATTTTCAAGGGAAAAAGACTCTGGCTTTTAAGAGTGAGAAAATATATATCCCCACTAATGTTCAAATTTAGATTTTATTTCAGTTTCACATAGCTTTCCCTTCAGCTTCTCCTTAAAATACAATGTATTGAGAAAGTGTAATTGTCCTGTTTCAACTCACTTCCTTCCACCAGTAATATTGTTACTTGGTGAATCATCTTGCTTACAGTCACTGTCACTATAGTTTATGAGCTCTTTCTTTTCATTATTTATAAATAACACAGGAGATAGACTTGAATTTTATGCAAGGAGAGAGGAAGGAAAGGACTACCAGTCCTGTCACTTACTGCATTTGAAAGTGTCTCAGAATGGGTAGTCTGTCAATATTTTTGCTATGCAATATGTGTATCTGTACAGATAAATTCGAGATTATTTACTTTGAGCAGTTTTAGCTATACAGAGCAATTTCCTTTTCTATGAAGTTCTGCTCATGGTTCTCACTGTGCATTTATTCCGTTTCTGAGCTTTTCCAAAGTAATTGCATGGTCTTTCTTATAGAGGTGATGTCTTGAATCTGTTGCCCTCTGAAAGGGCTGATCTTGGCAGTGACCAGAGGCATAATGTACTCTGCATCCTGCTTCCCTTCCTCTTCCATGAGTGCTTGTTTTAGAACCTACAGAGGACCAGCACTGTGCCTGGGAACCCTGGCAGTGCTTCTTCTGTGTCCAGACTGCATCTTCCAGTGCCACATGCAGCCTGGCCAGCAGAGTCAGAGGTGAGTTGGCTTTTGAGAGGTACTTGGCATAATGGTGTAGACATATTTAAGGTGGTGCGTTGTTTTCAATGAAATTGGTATTTCAGGCTGAAATTTCAACTGCTAGAATCTAAAACTGCAGGTTCAGGAGACCAAGGGACCCAGAAACCAACTGATTGGTGTTCAGTCAGATGCCTGCTTGGCTTTCTGTCCTTTGTGAAGAGTTCACCCTGGTGTGGGCTGAAGGCAGTGAGTGTGCCTGGGTTTTCTTGAGGCGGGCCTGAGCGTTTTCCACACCCAGAAAACATCAGTGCTAAGCATAAGGGAAGAACCCAGCAGTAGTTAACAAGCTCTGGGGAAGAAGAAACCTGCTCTCCATTCCTCTTGAAGAATGCATTTCAAAAAGGGCTGAGGCTCTTTGAAACTCATGACCAAGTAGTCCCACAGGGTGCTTTTTCAGCTGGATTTGCACTGGAACTTATGCCACAGTGTAGGATCAAATTGGGCTTGCAACCTGTGAGTAAGAAACAGGGAAAATCCTAATACCCATCTCAGTCATGAGATCACATCTTACATGACTTGGAAAAGGAGCATGTCTCCTGTACCCTGAGCATTCCCCCAGCACAATCTGGTTTACTCAAGTATAGTTCCTTGTTTCTGGCTTTGGTAGAATGGTGGGATATGACAGCTCTTTGTCCGAGGGAAGTTGTAAACAGGTGCAGAAATACTGCATGTTGTATTGGTTTTCATTACAGAATTTAGCATATTTTTAGATTTGAAAATAGTTACTATGTCATTACCAATAATTACTGTGTTGGGAGGAGGAGCAGTATTAAGATTTGATTTCCCTTCCTTTGCTTTCTTCAGTTACAAACCACCTCAAAGTCCTGAAATGAAAAGAAAGTGGGAGAAAAAAGGTAAAATTAGAGGTTTTGTTCGTTTGATGAAGGTATTGTCAGATTGCACAAGGTTTTCAAGATGTTGCCCAGACCCGAAGTGGTATTTCCGTGTCAGTTATCTGAGATAACAGGGATTATGTAGAGAATTCTGTTTAAGAATATGGAAAGAATTCTGTTAAAGAATGCCATTCAGCTGTTGTCAAACGGAAGTACCAGAGCACAGCTTTGCTAGTATAAATGTGACCATTGTTTTCCTCCTTTTTTTTTTGCTTTGGAATTAAAAATAACATTTCCATTTCTATAATGGACAAGGTGAAAATTTGAGACTTTTATTTTGCTTAGGTGATATGCTTGAAAATTTTCTAGCTTGCAGCATTAGTCTGCAACAGATTCCCCAATCTCAACAGAACAGAAACTGTAAAGGATAACAAAATGACAATCCATACAAAAGTATTCACATGGAAATGTAGTCAGTGGTTTAATCTCATACCAACTTTTCTAAATCTGTGTTCCTGCAGTACTTTAGGATAGGAACGCCATTCAGATGTACATAGTACATTTTATAGCTTTTCTTCATCAAATTTTAATGTGCTGTTCTGACTACATTTCACTTGTCTTACCTGCAAAACATGGAGGGTGTCCAAACCAGATGCTGAATATAGCTCAGAGGAGTCATTATTGAGGGTCTTGACCTGCCATTATATTTAACTTACAGAAGCATAATAGCATTACATATTGCAAGCTCTGCACTGTATTATATTGAATAAAGATTTTGTTTTTTTCCAAACACCTATTTCAGTTTTGTACTGAAGGTATTCTGCAAATGCTGCTACTTGCTGAAAGACTACCACTTCTCTTGTTTCCTGACATGTGAGTCTTTGGGTCATGTAACCGGCACATGTGGCAGTCACACAATAGGAGAGGGACTATGTTGGGAGCTGTGTAGGCAAATTTTTCTTCCTGCCAGGCTCTTTTTGCACAAGACCTGACCAGTTTTGTCTGTTGTGTGACACTCGATAACCACAGACAGGTGGGAAGTGGAGCAAAGGAACATCAGGTGCTGCTCATTTGTGAGGGCCACATCCAATGCCTGGGGTTTGACATCTGTGCTTTGAGAAAACTACTTTTCAAATGTCAGCACTTAATAAAATGGAAAGTTGGAACAAATCTGAGTTGTGTGTTGTGTAAGTGTTACTGTGTTGTTCCTATCCAAGAGAAGCCTTATAAAAATTACGTAGGACCATATTTTCTGTCGGAAGGATTATGATATACAAAAACACTGTCCAGCTCAAAAGAAGCAGTAAAGTCCTGTTGTGTGTGTCTTTTCACATCAGTGGGGATGCAGCAAATAGCAGAGAATTGAATAAGCTTTAACATTCTTTACCAGATAACTGGCCATAATATCCTCATTGTCTGGAGATAATGGGGAGATAATGAGGAGAGTACATTAAATTATAGAGAGCTCATAAAGGTGGATGCATTTGCCACATTTCTCAGATGTTTACCTAGGACAAAAGGTGGAGCCAGCTGCTGTCAAAGGTGGCATATTTTGCAGAGTGGGGTGCTTGTACCTTGGTGTGTCAGTCAAAGTGGGTTATCACTAGCATCGTACTGCTCACAGGAAAGAGGGAGATCAGTCAAGGAATCACAGCGTTTGCTGTGCTCTGGATCTTGCTGTAGAAAACTCTTCTTAGTTCCTGGGAGGAGTTGCTCTGCGTATGGGAGTTGGAACTTGTTTCTTCACCATTAAGAAATGCATGTGTACGTGTTTACCTGGCAGTTATTAGTGACAGACAGATATTTCCAGTACCTCATCCTGAATTTGGACTCAAGGTATTGGTGCTGTTCAGGCAATAATTATTTCCTTGACTTAATGGGTAGTGTGGCCTGTGTGAGCACACACAGAAAGCACCCACTGCTTCAGGAGTGTGCCTGACTTATTTACAGCTTGCAGTGTCACAGTGCACCAGTAGAAGGTAGTACTTATGAATGTTTCATTCACACTGGCAACTTTTTTCTGTTGAGTGAGATGTGCTTTTTAAGTACCTAGTCGGGGTAATATGTGATGATACCATCCAGTCTGCAGAGGGCAGAGCAACACCGCTGAGTGTTTTTCTGGAATGATGAGGGTTTACATTCAAGGAACCCGAGGCTTCTTGTGTTTCAGTCCTACTAATGTGATTATAAGTGGGGTAGCCAGGTCTGTAGCAACTCCACTTGATTTTTGTTCGACTTCATCCAAATGGTCCTCAAGTGGTCCCTGACCAATCCTGAAGCAGATTAACTTTTTTAGCTCTCAGCTAAAGAAGCATAAAAAACTCTGTGTTGTGTGTATATTGGTATATCTATGTTTATCCTCTAATAATAACAGTAGAAAAACTAAATTGCCTCACCCCGCCCAAATTAATTTTCCCTGAAAATGTTCAATAATTTTGGCAAGTAGAGGTTGTGTATGTTAGGATCTTCTGATGTTGAATACAAAATTTATGTAACACATCATCCAAGATGATGAACTCTTAAAAAGGAAGCAGTAAAAGTCTAAGATTTATAAATACAAAAAAAAAAAAAAATGTTCTGTCTATGTAGGAAAGTGATGTAGACCTGAGATGGTGCAGAGCAGTCTGTGACACGGCATGAGAATTGTCCAAACACCTGCATCCTGCAGTTCAGTGGCCATGAGCCACAGCTGAGGTTTGGGTGAAGTCTCACTCTCTGAACTCTTTTCTGGTTCTTTGGGAATCCAGAAGGTTTTCATGTACAAAGCAGATTTATAATGGATGGAAGTAAATGTTATTTTCAATAGCCAGTGACGTTGTGTCTGTTTCTGCAGAAGTGATGAGGTGGTTTTAACTAGAAGCACAAACATATCTAAACCATGAAACTTGCTTATTTTACTGGTAAAATAGGGAATATCAACTAAATTTTGCCTAGTTACACCATAGGTGAGTGATCTTCATTCTCTACTTGCTTTCTTTTAATAGGACAAACAATTGAACTAAAAGCTTACTCAAGCATATAGGAACAAGGAAGGCTGAGTATCACACCTGTGAAAGGTTTCATGTAGGAAAGTTTTGTGAAAACATGTTTTCAGGCAAGAAATAAGCCACTGGGTTTTTTTTGCTTCAAACTAAAGATACACCTTGGTGAAAAAATCGCTTGCTGCAGGGAGAAGTTCAAATGCCCACCGTTTGCCAAAAGCAAGGACAAAAATTCATGTGGCAGGTGTCCTTTCTAGGAATCTTTTAAGATTGCAGTTCCACAGACTGGCCCAGAAGTCTGGTGTAAATCCATCCTCCCAGCCCCTCCTTAAGGGTTTCCTGCAGTATTTTGAAACCTATTTCCTGGAGAAAGATTTCAGAGACAAGAGCTAACAGAGATATTATATTTAGATATAAGAAATAAGATATTCAGGGCTTGTAAAGCCCTCTTAGACTGTGGTTATAAGCAAAAGATCTTGAGGGTTTTTGAGAGAGTTTAGTGAAATGGAAACCCTTGCAGCCTAAGAACGTTTTGATAAAGAACTGGGAGGCAGAGAGAAGGGAGTCATTTTCATACTGGTCAAACCAGCACATAATATTCTAGCTCCTTAATGCCTTAAATTCCTCTGTTTAAAAAATGTGACTGCCTACAGAGGGGAAAAAAAGGCTTACTCTTGAACGGTGATGGGATATTTGTAAAGTATTCACAGAATTTTTCAATCCCTGTTTAAAGGCAAGTAATATGGCCTTACTCTAAGGCACCGCAATAGATGTGATAGTGAGCATAAATCCCTCAGCCAGGAGCTTTGGG